CATGGAGCACGGCGGCGTGCTGTTCAACGCTTGCTGCGCACGCACCAGCGGCTGCGGGGTGTCCCACGACTTGACCATCTGCGAAACTGCCAGCTCAGCAGCGCTGCCGTCACCAAAATCACCGATGATCGCAACACGCGTCCCGTGCACGCTGCCAACAGCACATGTTGCCAGCAGCAGAAGTGCTGCTGCCTGCGTCCATAGCATCTTCCCCAGCACGCTGCGCATCATTACGCAGCAGACTGATGAACGATGCTATTGATTGTCCAGTAATGTAAGAAAGGTGGCCTATTCTAGTCGGATGGGCTCGCCCAGCGCGACCTCGGGCCTCGGCCCACGTCCCAGCCACGCCGAAGACGCCCAAAAACGCTCAATCACGAAGTGTCACACAAATCAGATCCGATTATCAATTTCGTGCTCGCTAATTGAGCTCTTGGGGCAGGAGCGGCGGCAGCTGCTGCACCTACTGCACTTCTGTTCGGTGTGTTTGTGGCATCCATCTGCACCACCCATGTCTCCAGGTGCCTGCACCTGTAATGCTGCAGGATATTTATGCAATGTGACTGATTTCAAAGATGTGATGGTCATGTTTGGAGCGACAGCAATCCCAGCAGCCCCGTTGCCTTTGGTCTTTTGGGTTGCTAGTGTTGAGTTGATAGGAAAGCTGCCATTCCCCTGGAGATAAGGTCCCCGAGTATGTGTTGCAGGTAATTATTGGTAAGGGGTTGGAGACACTGACACATTGTACATTCTCGCACACCTGTGCGATAAGCTCATGCGCAGCGCTTTAACGTGCTGTACCAGGCAGGGAGCACTGGCGGTGCAGTCTACAGTCATCCAGACACTTTAGAGGCCGCTCCCGCACGCCAACACTAGCCATTTCTTGCGGTCACAGGAGCAGCCGGAGATGCCCTGCAAGCAACTGTGATGGGTATTCGTCGCCACACCTCTGAGCGCAATGACATTGATCCGCAACAATGAACTTGAGTGCTCTCCCCAGAGCACGCAACTGCTCCACAGCCGCTGCAGCCACGCTCCTGCACTCGCTAGACAGGTGGTGGTCAACGACCCAACCCCCGCCTCCCCACTCCATCGATGCGCAGCAGGGCCGCCTCACGCCATTGCCATGAGGGGGAGTGAGCCCGGTGTGGCGTCCACTGGAGCCTGCCTCGCGGCCAACTGGCCCTGCGTCACCGCCGCCTTGAAGCGCAGGAAGCGGTGGAAGTCGCGCCACATCAGCTCAAAAAGCAGCCACGACAAGCCTGCAGGGCACACAGGCGTGTGCACGTGCATTTTGAGACTCAGTGTTTTCCAGGCAGTTGCAGCGAGGGGGCGGTGGGCGGCGCGACGCGCCTCGAGGCCTGGGCGCGGGTGCCAGCAAGGCCCCCCGCCCTGCTGGCGCTGACCCACCCAAATCACCAACAGGCCCAAGCGGTGCGCTTGCAGAGGGGTTCCAAGGAATGAAACGATGCAGCACTACTGCAGGCAGCCGGATCACGGAATGCACGTCCAGGTGAGCCACCAACAGACTGCGCGACGGCAAGGCCGGTGCGGTGCTCACCGCCTCGCTGCGCGCCGTCGCCGTGCGGCGCCAGCTGGCCCTGCAGCGCGTGGTAGAGGCTGCGCGGCGACAGGCAGCCCACGTCCAGCCAGGGGGCCACCCTGCCCGCAAACGCAGGGGAGGGGCGCGCGGCCGCGCCGCCTTGCTGGACCTCGCGTGCGAAGGCCTGTTTGCAAGGGGGGCGATGCGTCGTTTGGTGAGGTGGACGGGTTGCTCAATGACTAATGACCCGGTCAGCGGCGTGGGTTCGTCCATGGCACAGTCAGGGGGTGGCCGCCTGCAGAGACGACTCCCGAGACCCCTCAGTCGCTCTCCAACGGAAGGCAAGCCCGTCCTCAGAAGATTGAGTGTGGCGCGACGCCGCAAGCTGATAAAACATCGCATACCCCTGTCGATACATGCACCAAGCACTCTGCACGCGAGTGTCCACCCCTTGCACCAGTGGTGAGGACCAGCCGTCCTCTTCCCCTCACCCCACGCACCTGCACGTGCGCCAGCGCGTCGCGCTCGCCGCCGCCCCGCAGGCGCGCGCCCGCCGCGGCCGTGTCCGCGCGGGCGCGCTGGAGGGCGGCGCGGCGCAGGCCAAGCTGCGCCAGGGTCGGCAGGTCCCCTGGGGCGATGGCGCTGCGGGGGCGGGGGGCGGGCGTTGCGGGGCAGAGCCGCGGATGCTGGAACGACTGTTTGTTCGAAGGGGCGGGCTGCTGAGCGCAAAGACCGGATTGACCGGATGAGTGCACGAAGACAGCATCCTGCACACTTGGCGTTTGAAACGCCCGCGAGAAATAATGTTGACGTTGCGATTTGTCAAGCACCGGTGTTATTTTATCACCGCTGCGCGTGCTTGCTGCCGCCCAGCCGCTGCCTCCAAACAGGCTGTGGCCGCCCCTGCTCCCCCCACCCCTCACAGGCGCAAACACAACCTCACAGCCCGCGCACCTT